TATCATGTTTGCTTGGTCTTTTAGAAATCCAAAAAAGTTTTTTTGTTGAAATTAACTATCTTATTGTTTATTGCCTAAGAAAAGATTATCACCATTTTATCGTAATATTATGAAATGAAGGCGAGACTTATGAATTTAGGTTCATATCACTTGAAGGGTTATGGTTGATAAATGAAATCATTTGAGTGATTTGAAAAGGTGTAAAGGCATTTAATGATTTACTTCTAATAGGGATTGCCAACTCTTCTGAAACTCTTTTCAAAAGAAAACTTTTTTTTATCCTTTTTCTTCTTTCTTCAAGGCATTTCTCTTTTTATGACTTTTAGAAATTAATTATGTGGGACTTTATTCAAATCCAACAATTTTTTTTACTATTTTTTTTTTAGAAAAATCCAAAAAATCCAAAACTTAAAAATAATTAAAAATCTCAAATGACAATATTCACAAAATCATGAGATAATATGGAAAAATCCTAAAAATCCAAAACTTAAAAGCAATTCAAAATCTCAAATGACAATATTCACAAACTCATGAAATAATATGACGCACAATATATATTCATTCAATACAAGCATTCAAGTCCAATTCAAGGTTCACACTTTTAAAGTACTTTCAAAATGATATACAAGTCTTAAACAAAAAGAGTTCCTTACTTGTCACCTCACTCTTAGAATCTTGATTCTTAATTCTACAGCCATTACTAATCAAAACCCTTAACCAATTCTTTAACTTTCATAGAATTTGCATCAATCAAAACTTGAATTACACCCTTAAAAATAGTGCAATTTTTTATGAAATAGCCTTTGACCTCATCTGGTATTCACATTTAGCATTTGGATCATATCATTTTGAGTAAAAGGCTTTCTAGGCTTTACACGAATAATGGAAAGCATATGATTTTTGGCAAGCAAAAGAAAAAGCTCAGTGTAAGATATTAGAACCGGATCATACATGTTGACTCATTTTCTTTTACGACTCTATGGATGGCTTAAGTTGATCTTTTATTTTAAGAACATTTGTGGCAGAGGAGTCTTGAAAAGGGACGTTAGACCACATGGATAAAATGGTTGAAGAAAGTTGCTCAAGTGGAGTCACTAAGTTGTCATAATAGTTTTAGAGACCATTAGACAAATTTGGAAACAAAAAAGAGTCGCCACCAATATTTTTTGGCTAGGTGTGATTTGCCACTTATTAAAACTTGTCATTTTAATAAAATTTTAAAATTAATTAAAACTTATTAAAAAGATAATTTTTTAGGTCTATAAAAACAGTTTGAGTTCGAGAATCGATTACGCGTGAGAAATGATTAACAACCTTATAGCACTCGTTGGAAAATGATACCAATTAATTATGTGTCATCCTTTAATTTTGAGGAAAAGGTTTTAATTTTGGTATTTAAAATTTATTTTCTTTATTTTCTTTATTGTAGTAAAAAAATATTTTTTTTTATCTTGGTTGGTAAAATAAATAAGAACTTTGTTTATTGAAAATTTTTCAAAAATATTCCAATAATTTAGCAATATTAAAAGGAACTTTTTCACCTAAGGATCTCTTAAAAATCACTACTTGAACTTCTCAATAATCCCATCCTCGGTAGTTTACACTTATCCTTAATATCTATATTTATCATGCATGTAGTAAAATATGATGTCTATAATTTAATCCAAATAATAAAAACTCATTTCTTATTCTATTAAAAAAAATTTTATTGAAAAATATTCTAAATGCTCTAATACATTAGCGGCATTTAGACAAATTTTCTTACCTAAAAATTTTTAAAAAATTATTACTCAGACTTTTTTAAGATTTCATCCTCGGAGATTTCGTTTATTTTTATAATATAATGCATAAATGAAATGTGATGCACCTGGATTACTTAGTAACACTGTTACATTGTATAAAAGTTCATTTCATTTTTTTTAATAAGGAAAAGTAAACAATTTCTTATTGCAAATTGTCCTAAATATTTCAATACTTTAGTAATAATTTAGAAACTTTTTCTCACCTAAATATTTTTTCAAAATCACTACTCGAACTTTTCTAGAATCTCATCATCAAATTTTTCATTATTTATTAATTTTTCTATTATTATCTCACCCTAAAAGTTATACCATGAAGCAATTATCCATAAACGAATTTATTTCTTAAAAGTGTATGGTTTTATAGATAGTTTATATTTAATTTATATATATTTTTAAATTATTCTAATTAAATAGCAAAATAAAAATTTTTGTATTGAAAAGATTTTTTAAATATTTTAATATTTTAGTAATTTTCAGAAGATTTTTCTCACTTAAGAAACTCTCAAAAATTACTACCCGAACTTTCCGAAATCCCATCATCAGAGATTTTTATTTTTATAATATTTATAATATTTATTATTTTAAATATTGATTACTATAAAAGATATTCATACATAATAGACAATTATGTTATTATTAAAAACATTTATTTTTATTTATCATTTTATTATTTCATTTTTATGGTAATAATAATTAAAAAAAAAACCATCAATGAAAAGGATAACCTTTTTCAAATTTTTTTTATTTATGCATTTCATGATCCAATTTTTACCGGCACTAGTATAATTAAATGTAATAACAAAGTAAATCAATTACAAAAAAAGTACAAGAAATGAAGCTTGTGGGTTGGCGCACAGAGCAAGACCAATGCTCAAAGGAGGCTTTTAATTTAAATGGGTTTTAGGTTGGGCTCTATCTGGGTCGGGCAGAGGGATTTGGAGTGGGTCTAATTCGGGTCGTGGGCTGGATCATGATCACCAGTCGGGTTGACCCTCCGTGTTCCCGCCCTTTTTCTTTTTTAAGTTATAAAATCTTTTTTTTTTCTTTTCATCTCATTTCATCTACTTTCATTTCCTCTTCGAACCAAAAAGCCAGCTCCCGTTGTAAACCCAGTTTCCGATGGTCAGTAGCAGGCTGGACCATCTCTCGCAGGTAGCGGCGGCGTCATTTTCAGCCCAAATTTCAGCCCGAACCTCCTCTTCGCCTGTTGTTCCCTATTTTAGCTTTGGTTTCGCCTAAATCAACGTCCATTGTTCTAGATCTAAACCAAAGTCTGAAACTTTAAACCGCCATAAACTTTTCCTCCACCGTCCGATCGTCGCGAAACCAAAGTATGTTGGTCTCCTTCCTTTGCTCGTCCTTCTCAACAAAAAAAGGGTTTCAATCTCCCTCGAACACCCCAAACCAACAGTCCCTCCTTTGTGGCTTTTTGCTTGTTGGCGCTGAGGTTCCTCCCCTCGGGGAGGACTGTGGTGGCTTTTTTTTTTTTAGTGCTTTTTGGTTTTAGGAAGGAGAAGTGGGTCTTGGGCTTTTCGATTTGGGTAGGATGTGTGGCTATGGTTTTTTTTTTTTTTTTTGGTGTTAGGCGATGGTGATGAGCTCCGGGGAAGGGTTGCGTGGGAGTGTTTGGGGCTTAGTGTTGGCTGGAATGGGTTCTTCGGCTGGTGATTTTCAGCCGAGTGGTTTTAGTCCAAATGGCTGTGGTTGGCGTGTGTGGAACTGGGTTATTATTTCATAATAGTAATAATAATGAAATTGGGCTTAAATGGGAATAAGATTGAAGTTCGGTCCTAAAAAAATGATTTGGATTCTTATTAGGTCTTTAAATTTAAATTCAAAATTCATTCAATAATTAAATTTAAGTTCGTACAAAAATGATTCCAACATGATTAATTTAAAACAAAGTTTAATCGAATTCATTACGATAAATTTAATTCAAATTAAAACATTTAAATTAAGTATTAAAATTGAACAAATTTAAATTGATTCGGACAAAATTATATTTTTACCATACCAAAAAAAATTTTGTTAGTGATCTTTGATTAAATAGAAAAAAAGTTACTAAACAATCTTTAATCAAATTGAATCAAACTAAGGTTTGGACATATCCCATAAGTTAGATATATTGAATCTTCAAGAAAAAGGTCAAACCTTGCTCTTGCTCGGGCAAGAGAGATCTCCAGGCAGGCATTGCAGCAAAGAATTAGGTCTGGAATACATCTTCAACTGACAACTATTTTCCAAACCTGTCCATGTGCATGATCTTTATATAATGCAACAGAAACAGGCTGAATTGAAGTAAATTCATTTCATTTCGAAGAATTTTGGTACCCCGCCTCATCATTTTATAAAGTGATGAGTGATATCAGCTTGCTTTTCAGCTTTGCTTTGCTCAGCTTAAGATACGATCTTTGAAAGAAGAAAAATTCGAATAAAACTCTTTGAACTAGAGATACACTGCCTGTTGAGCTTCTCTTTTTGATGGAAGATTGTATCTTCTTTAACATGATTTCTCATTTTTTTTCACCTACAATAATCATATTATAATTAACAAATCAAAATTTAAAATAATGTCAAATCTATCAAAATTTTATATAAAACATACAATATAAATAATAAAACACCTATATAATTTTTTATTATGATTGAACAACGATAATATTGTAATAAAAAGAATTGTTCGTGAAATGCTTTCATTTTTTCCATGGAATCCAAAGCAATCTTCCGAGTTCAATGCTCTCTGCCTCAGTTGTGCATTAAATAAATACCCTGAGGCAAGCTGTAATACAAGAGAGCCATCCACTGCTACTTTGTTTAAGAGGTGGAGGCTCATAAAGCTGATTAATGGCGCAAAAGCACTATCCCTTACGCCATGACCATTCAATTCTTACATCAATCGAACACATTATAATAACTTAAACCAAATTTCCATCTGAGGCTCAGACACTCAATATTCAATTGGTAAGAATCTGAACTCGTAACAAATCAAGATAAGATTGCAACGAGCAACTTACTATCTGGGACTAGAATGCTGAACATATTGAAAAGTAACTGAATTTTACTGGCTCTTTTCTAGTGCTCCTGCTCCTCTTATACACTAAAAAGATATGGGAGAGGAACGGACAGTTTTAAGCTATCTGAACTATTTGTGAATGAATAAAGCATTCAGACCATGGGTAGCTCTAAGAACAAAAGCAATGAAACAAATGAAACATTCTATTTGCAGTTCAATCATTTAACAAAGATGATACAAAAAAATTTACGCACATGTGAATGTTGAATATTATCTACACTGGGAAACCCAAATTGCTGGACAAATGAAGGTGATTATGATGCACTGCCCACTAGAAATGTCACCTTCAACTTACGACATAAGATAACACCCCTTAGCTCCACACAGCATGAAACCTACGACACAACCTGTTTCACCACAAAGATTGGCCAGCAACGCAAAATACAGTGTCACTTGCTCAACCAGTAGATAAACATAAGAAATGTGCATACAGATGCAACGAGAGACAGAATGATGGTATCCATAGACTTTTTCCTCTTTATTGCAGATAGAACATTATTTACCTGCATGGTAGAACATGACAACATATAGGTCAAAACATGACAAAGCAACCGAAAATCAGCACAGATAGATGTTAAAAGAAAGCTTTGGGTAAATTCTCTCAGATGGGAAAACCGTTTCCAATTCAGATTTAAACTGTCCTCAAAATTATCCATCTTGGTTCGCAATAGCACGTCTGACTATGTATGCAGACAAAATGAATTTCTAAAATTCATTAAACTAGTAGTATATTAGATCATTTATGGTAATTTCTTGCAGAGATTTGTTCTTTCATTAACTGATTTACTTTTCCCAAGCATGTCCACTTTTTTCAATGTTCTTATGCTGTGAAAATCATAGAAAACTAGCAAGTGGGACACCTTAACATTAGGTTGCTAAAGTACTTAATAAATTTATGGAAGTCATAACATAACTAACAACATTAACAAGTATTCATACCGTTGGAAGGCGGCTGCTGACATTGCTAAGTTTTGAATTAATCCCTCCAAAAGTTGAACGTTGAAGGACAAGTGCACCAAGAGTTGCTTGAGCTTGTGAAATTACACTATCCATCTGTAAAAACCAGAATTCAGTCGGCAACTTCATATGAACTAAGAGCAATGGCTGATAGTTAACATAGTTTATAATTTTTTCCCCCAAACTTAAATGAGATGGCTCATAGTTAACATGGTTCTTAATTTTTTCCTCCAAACTTAAACAAGATCCCTGATCATCTAAGAGAAAGCATCCAAAATATGGCTGGTTAAGAAAATACTCCATACAACAGAGAGAATCAGTCAACAGGAGGTGTTTTCTAGCATATAACATCTGCAAATTATATTGTATTCCAAACAATAATGAAAGTTTTTCTTTTTTGAACTGATGAAAATACGAACAATAATGAACTTTTATCAAACTGCTTTTAATAGAAGCATACACTCCGAGACTGTTGTACGAAAAAAAAAAAAAAAGGAAAAAGAAACAGTAAGACTGCCACCAGTCACATATGCTTCTCTACAAAGAGTTAATATACTAGTAAGTTATATATTAATATTGGAAATCAATCAGATGGTAGGAAAACTAAATTCATTTATGCATCTCACCAGAGAAAATCAAAAAACAAATTGAAACATAGAAAATAGAAACAGGTGGTGTAAAAACACATAACACAGCAGTTTTGATCACTATTATTAGAACAAGTGATACCTAATTGCTTCTCAAAACTAAGCATTAATCTGACACATCAAAAAAATGAGGAATTAGTAAAGAATTTAACAACTAACTAGTCTTTATTAGGCTACCAGGTTTTGCTTTCAACTTCTCTATATTAGGAAGTTAACATGTTTATTCCAGCTCTTATCTTTTCATTACATTTCAAGAGTCAAGGTATCTCAGCAACTTTGAATCTTCTTGAACAAGAATGATCAAATATTCTGTAAGTCATAAATTATAATTGTCATTTCAAGATCCCAAATGTTGAAATCCACTAATTAATTGAATGAGACCATTTACAAAATAGAAAACTATAAATAGTACATATGAAATTCTCAAAGATTTTCTGACTCAAATTTTGTCCCAGTTTTTACAATCAACCTTATTATAACTTTATCAGACTGGCAACCAACTCAAAACTGTTCCTTTTAGACCTTAGAATGAAGTAAAGGAATGAGGCTATAACAAATGAGAAGATGCTAGGAATGCATACCCACCTAAAAAAGCCACTATTAAATCCATAATGTGATTCAGATTTCTTTTAATTTATTTGCTCCATTTTTCTCGCCTCAATCTCATTATTAATTAATTAATTATTTATTTATTTATTTATTAAACTCTAAGCTCCCAATAGCAACCAACATTTAAGGCATTTCTTTAGAAATAATGTCATCATACTTACAAAAAAGATATCGTTAACTACTAAATATTACATACCTGTCCTGTACTCCGGCTGATGGCTGCATGCTCCTTAAGTAAAGCATGTTCTGTGGAATCAACACCTTCTTCCAAGTCTAATCTAGACCGATCAAACTCCCTAAAATCCTCCAGTAGTGAAGCATGTTCTTGTTTAGCTCTAAGGCTAGAGCGGAGACGATAGAACTCCTGCACTTAAATCAGGTCTAAGATCAAGTTAGTTTCTCATTGGTTCAATCCTAGTAAATCCTGTTAAAGTTTTCATGGTAAAAGAATGTATATTTGGAGGTTCCAAAAGGAGGTGTATATGGAAAGCTGCAAGCCTCCAAATGCCTACAGATTATGAAGATTCCGAACAAAACTAATATGCTGGGTACAAAAAAAGATGTATTAGAAACAAGGCATACTTTGACTATCTCCAGGAAAGCAGACATATAACATTAAGATTCACCATAAAGGCTCTTAATCTCTTTGTTGCCTTATTGTTAGTTTCTGAACAGATTGGGAAACATAAAGCCACTGTTTTTTTAGCTTTAAAGCAAAAGAGAGGAGAAACAAGGGAGAAAAACTTCTGTCAGAGGGTCCAAAAAATATGAAAAAGCATCGATGTAGATTGTCTGGCAGAGAAAGATAAATCAAAAATAATTAAGAAACCACAGTACCTGAGTAAGATCTTGAAGAATTTCCTGATGTCGAGTCAAGGTATGAGAAACCATTTCAGATCCACCAGATGACACCCAGTCTTGCATTTGCATATTTACTTGTTGTAGCTGTTTTAGTAATCGGTCTATACCAGATTCAAGATCATTCTCTTGCGAGTCAACTTTTGTTGAAACCTTTGTGGAGACCAACTTCCGATATAAATTCATCTGCTCATCCAACTGAGCTTCGAGTTTCCTTGCCTGCAATAATAGTGAAACAAAGATATTCATTACCCAACTGTTAACTATTTCAGGATAAATAAAATATGGGAGTTAATTAGCAAAGGACTTAAAAGGTCGAGAGAAACGTTCCCAAAAGAAATTTATGACTTTAATTTTCTGAAAGCACCATTTTCCCCAAAATTTTGATATCAGTGGCCCAAAGTATAAAAGATCGTGTTATTCCAATCTTAATGTATAATGATGATCAGGCAATGCATACTGAGCCTCAGCTAGAGTAATGCTTTAATGGCAATGTATCGATGGACATGGCAACTAAAAAACTTACAAATTACGTGACCTCTCATTTAATTAGGCAATGCAGGAGTGAAACATTAAAGTTCATTTTCTCCTTTATGGAATTTTTTAAAGGAAAGTTTATTACAAGAAGCCCATATCCTCAATCAATAAGGTAGATGCACTATTTTATGTGGAACAACTACTTAAGCAGATTCAATCCAAATTCATTGTCAGAAGTTAGATGCAGAACTAACAGCTACTTATATCGCTCCTCTAATTTTTAGCACAGGGTCAAATTCTTACAGAAAGATACGAAGTTTACATTTTGTAATATCCTTGCAGAGTAGGAACCTACTGGTATTTGGCCAAGCCATTGCCTTCACCCCCGAATTTCAAATGGAAATCCACATCGAAATACGGACCTATGCGGAAAAGTCATCCATTTACTTTTTGGATGAAATTCTGTTTATCTTATTCAAGGAAGGTAATCAATGAACTCTTATCTGCCATCACTCTCATCTACAAGAGTTAAGATAGCAAACTAATCAAACACTAGCTACATCATTAGATTGAACTTAATGAAGTCATTAGTAATTCCCAATTCTAGTTGTTCGCAAGTATATTGAAACAAGGTTACATTGGTTTTAGTTGTCTTTTGTAATATCAACCACACAACAAAAACAGAAGATAAAATGAGTATTTTTACTAAGAAGTATGACATTGGTCTTCAGCAATAGCTAAAGGAAATTCCCAGCATTTCCTCCTCACAGGTAAACTCCCATTCTCAGAAGAAACATAAATTCCAAAAAAGTGCGTTGTCTCTTTGTAAGGTACCAAATACATGAAACTAAATTCCACAGACACCACAGATTGGACCATTCATTTAGGAAAGAAATATGCAAACAAAAGATCAAGCAGAACGACATAAAAACCACAAGCTCGACATCAACTAGAACATATAAATAAACAGCAATGACAAGCTTTAGTAAAACTGTAATTCTTAGTTAAGGATCTGATTCGTTTAAACAGATCCAATTGATTGGAAATAAACCAAAAATTTTCCTTTTTTCTATGAACAACAAATCCATAATCTCTACTTGTTTCTGTATATAATTACCCAAAGAAAAAAAAAGCGTCAGAAGCTAGAGAATCCAGATTTCGATTTCATTTCAACAGATTCCAATAAGAAAACTCAAGTACTCGACAAAAATTAAATAAATTTTGATGCTCTGAACAATAATAGTTAAAAAGACCCAGCAAATATCGCTTCCTTAAAATTTTTTAACAAACCAATAAAAAAAATCCAAACAAAGAAACCAAAACTTCCTCAACAATTCAAATCGAATTCAATCAAATCCGATAGAATTATACAATCCTAGGCATTTTTTTACCCCGAAATTTCTCAGTTTTTTTCTCGTTAATCAAACAGAATAGAAAAGAAAAAGAAAAAGAAAATCAACAAACCTGTTTGCGTAAAGCATCCCACGAGCTTGGCACGTCCATCGGTAATCGCAGATCGATCACACAACAAATTCTTCTTCCTCTTTATTTTTACAAATCCTTCGAAATTTCTCCTCTTATTTAATTTTTCGAGGGTTTTCTTTTTCCTATTTATTTAAGAGAGATACAACTATTTTTGTTTGATAATAAAAGAAACGAACGACTAAAACGTTTTGTTTAAAGGGGGCTGGGCTATCTTTCAGGGGTTGTTTGGAAACGAAGATAGGTCTGCTCCATCACTTCAATTGGAACCATTTTACATAAATATATAAAAATCAAATTTTGAATAAAAAATAATTTGATATAAATAATTTATATTTTTGAGATGTAAATAATTTAAAAAATTGACATATATTTAAAATTAATTATATATTTAAAATTTAAAATTTAATGATAAAATAAATTTAATTTAAAATATCTTATTTTTATTATTAAAAATACATTCAATTATTTTTATTAACATTTATTTTTAAATGATTAATTGATTAAAATAAATTAAGAACCAAATCAAAAATAATAATATCTTAAATTGAAAGTAATTTATACTTAATAATTAGAATAATCAAGTATATTGTGCATTCAATATACTTGAGAGAAATAAAAAAAAATTGAAATTAATGTAATAATGATAACAAAAGTAAATTTTAATTAAATGATAGTTTCTATATATTCTATAAATTACTCTCATTACATTTATTTTTAGTTTTTAGTCAACTTACTATAATAAATATTAAATACCTTGAACACCTTATTAATTTTATATCGTATTTTATATAAATATATAAAAATTAAAGGTTTTGACAATAAAGAAAATATTCACTATAGATGTTTTATTTTTTATACCATACAATCATGAATAAACTATTTGTGTCATTTAATAAATATATTTTATTTTATATTTTTAATTTAAAAAAATTAATATACTTATTTAATTTGATTCATTTATAATGTAAAAAAAATTAAATTTATTTAATTTAGATTATTACATTTATTTTTTAAAAATATTCATTACTCTTATCTTATATAAATAAGTTTCAATTCAATTTATAGTCAAAATTAATTATTTTTTACCTTAAATTACTCTCAATTAAATTTTATTCTTAAACTTTCACATCAACTTCAATATTATAAATAGGAATATATTTTTGTCCATTAGAGATAATAGTATTTGATATTTGTTTTATAATTCTATTATATTCCGTTTCTCCTTTTTTTTATTTGTTCCATTGATATGTTTTTTTTTTCTTCCATTTGTTTTATTCCTCTTTATTTCAAAATATGATTTCTTTTATTGTTTTTTAATATTAAAATTCACTTTTTAGCAAAAAAAAAAATCTACTTTTAGTTTTTAGAACAAGATTAGTATAATATATAAATATTTTGATATGCCTTAAAAATTAATCTAAACATTTCATACACAATATAAAATGGCTTTCTTTTTTTTTTCTTTATATTTAATTTTTAGTTTATTTTTTAATGAAGTAATTTAAAATTTTTATGTACAAATGTATATACATATGCTGTGTGATTAATACTGACTACAAAGTTTTACCAGCTTTTCTAATTAGTAACAAGTTGTTTCGCAAGAGAATGTCCAAACAAATATGAATGGCTACACTAGTTAGTCCTGCCTGGGATTAATAATTTCTAAATTTCAATTGTTCCAATACAAAATGAAATTCAATTATCTTACATATATAAATGAAAATAAAAATTTAATTCGTTATTTAAATTATAAATGTATTGATTTCTTAAATATTATTATATGTAATGAGAATTATGCTAATTGATTGCTTGGTCATTTCTTTTGAAAATTCGAAATAAGATTAAAGTTCACATTAATCACTTAACGTAAAATCTCCATCGTCACTTTTAATTATATTAATTGGTGTCTTTTAAGTTCATGAAATGCGTTAGAAATGTGTTGGCATTCATTGGAATAAATTGAACAATATAGATAATAAATTATTTTATTGCTAGAGATTTGTTATTTACCCATTAATAGGTTTTGATAGTTTGGAAAAATAGATCCAATAATAAGAAATTGTGTTAATAAACACAAAGTTTTAAGAGTAAATTTATTTTTTCAAAATTAAAAGTAAAAATCAAGTTTCTAGATAGTGTTAGTATTGATAAAATTAAGTGTTATTGACAAAGCAAAGATAAATGAGTATTTAAACCTCTTAAGAAATTAAAAGTTAAAAAGTGATTTATCTAGATTATTTATACAATAAATATAATATTACAATAGTTTGCTTATAAATAGTTAAAGTTTTTGCCTTTTATGAATAAGTTACAATTTAAGTTATAATTAAAATTTAATTTTGCATTATTGTTTACCTTAAATTGCTCAAAATTAAATTCTATTTTTAACTTCTAACATTCAACTTTGACATTACATAAGAATAGGAGTTTGATTTAATGTATTGCCATTTAATAATTAATAATGAAAAAAATTTAAATTTCAATTATTATCATAAGATCAAATTTCAATTTTATATATTGCTTTTCTAACATTACAATATTACATTAAATGAAAGATTTCTTTTCTATCTCATAAAAAAAGAATTTGTGTTTCTTCTAATTAATTAATTCATATAAAAAACACGTTTTAGAAAATTATTATCTATCAACTATTTGACATTCAAACAAAAGTTTATAAAATTTGAAAACTATATAGTCATTAAATTAATAACTATATAATTTTTATGAAAATTTTATTAATTTCATTATCTTATTTAGATAAATTTTATCCTACATTAAATTATTACTATGTACTCTTGGTTTGATTTTTATATTATTTAATATTTTATATTTATAATCTAGCCTCAAATATAATCTTAAAATATATTTACATATCAGAAAAAAAAAAGTGGTATAATCAAGTATGAAATAAAATATTTTAATTTTCATTTTTAATAGTTAATTGACAAAAATAAATATAAATGGATTAACTGTAATCAAATTATTAGATTTTTTAACATATAAAAACAAAATTTTAAAATTAATTTTAACATATATTTTTTAGATTATAAATTCTCTTAATTTTTTTTATTTGATTGAGGAATTCATAAAAATTAAAATAACTTATTTTAAAATGAGTGATTATCCAATCATGAATTAATATTATATTTTTATATACTTTATCACACATTTTACACTAAAATCCAAATCTCTTTTTTTAATTCTAACTTACCAAACCTAATATATTGGTTGTTGAAAAAATAAAGACAAAATATGCTTTCCAACTTTAAATGAAATTTTATATGGAAAATTTTTTATATATTGATTTCATATTGAAATAAATACAATAACAACATATTAATTTAGTTAAAAGAAATAAAATGTTATCATATTAAATTTAATTAATTAAAATAATCTTATAAAAAATAAAATTTTCATGCATTGTATGGGTAACAAACTAGTTTGCTTAATTGCCAATAAAAACCTTAACAAGGAGTGTGGGAAAAAAAAATCCCAAAAATTCAAAAATTGTATTGAAATTATAATGTTTGATTTAATTTGAATCGATTTTTTTACTAGATTTAGATTAAGTTTGAATATTAAATGTATGTATTAAATTCATATAAGATTTTGAACGGAGACATAAAAAACTGAAAAAAAATAAGTCAAATAATATATTTTTATTAACTTTTATATATTTTTTAAATTTTTATAAAATAAAATTAATTATTTTATACTTAAATATATTTAAATATATTTAAATATATTAAAAATTTTAAAAAAATTAAAAAATTTTAAAATTTTAAAATTTAAAATTTAAAATTTTAAAATTGATAAACTAAATTAAACCAATAGAATTTAATTCGAATCAGATCATATAGAGTTTGATTCAGAATTAGATCAAATTTTAAAATTTTATAATTTTATACATTATCCCAAAAAATCAAATCGAATCTGATCCAATCCAAACAGTTATATTCCCTAACCTTAAAATGAAAAATGCAGTCGCAATTTTTTTTTTCTACATTTCTTAGAATTTCCTATGAGTTTGTATATTTGTAACTTAAATACCCTTTCAAATTTCTTCATTTTCCAAATTGTACCATGGCCTTGCAGCACACTATTGTGATACGTTAATCGTGATAGAAAATAAATAGTATTTCAACTTCTATTATGCAATGACTATATTTTTAAATATTATATTATAAAAGAAAATTTTTGTACGTAAAATTCAAAATTTTTAAACATATAAAATTATATGATATAATATCTGGTTGCTTAGTTACAAAGTTAATATAATAAAATTGATGTATTATTTCATATCTATGATATAATTATCCACGAATTTTACGAATTAATAGATTTCATTTCATTCTTACTTTGTTACATTACTTCATTCAACATTATTTATCATTTTAAAACAAATAAGATAAATGTTGAATTTAGATATAAAAGTAAACAATTTTTTTCAATAATTAAATATATCACTAGAAATTACAATCATATTCAATCTTTTTTAATATACATTAAAAAGAAAAACTAATAACCAAACCAAACGAATTACATCTAATAATTTTGACATGATACGATAATAAGACATAAAATTTTTTAGGTGAGAAAATATTTTTAAATTTAATTTTAATGTTGAAAAAATTAAATATATTTTTAATAAAAATAAAATTAGATAATTAATAATTACAAATAATAAAAACAAATCTTGGAATTAAAACTTTAGACCTTTTAATAAAAAATAAAATA